ATCCATCCATCCATCCATCCATCCATCCATCCTCTCCTCTCCTCTCCTCTCCTCCCTCCCCTTCCCTTCCCTTCCCCCCCTTGTATCCCCCACCTAAGGCAACCCCACCCCATCTTCCAGAGCATGACTGATTGCCACAGTCTGACCCGACAGGGACCAGATGGGGCTTCTAGCTCCCCCAAGCAGACAAACCGCCCACGAGCCCTTGGCGGCAAAGATACCTGCAATGTCCGCCTTTCCTTTGACCTCCGCAGGGGGGTTGTCTTTCTCCTCGGGGGGTGGGTCACTGCAGTTTCCGTTGACCAAGACCAGCTCTTCCTCGCTCTCCATCTCCCAGTCGACAGCCTTTTCTCTTTTCATGTTAAGCTGCAGGACAGATTTCCAGAAACGCCACCTTTAGCCAAGCCCAACATTCACCCTGCGAGGCTCATGCATTTTCGGGAGAATCTCCCCTGCTCTTCCGATCCCAGATAAGAGCACCCACCCCCCGGAGGCACCGTCCCTGTTTTAGGGGCTTTTTAAAAGAAAAAAAGAGGCCTGCAACTGGAGCAAGATTATTTCCCACTTTAAAAACTGAAGCTAGCTGAAAGCAACACCCAGCTCTAAATAAAAGACTTTTTTAAAAAGTCCCCTTCCGCGCTGTTCGTTGTAAATAACATTAAATTAAGAACACCGAAAGAAAAATGGCTGCTGTATTCCTTGCTTGTGTGAAACGGTCCTGAGCGCAGATGCAGCATCCGCGTTAAGGTCAGACCGCTTAAGAGAAGGTGGCAGGTTTGGGACTCAGCACCGGGGGGGGGGGTCCTTCCCTCCCCACCCCACTCCTTGCGTCCTGCGTGTCTGCTCTGGATGCCCCTCCCGAGCAGGGCGATGCGCCCAACGGGGCCGGAGGGGGACAGCCCTCTCACCGGCGAATATCCATGCGGGCAACTGGGGATTCTTTCGGAATATGGGACAAACCTGCATTTGTTGGTCTGTCTATATTCTGCCTTTCCTACACACCCTGCACACCACCCTCCCATCTTTCCACACAACCACCCTGCGAGGTGGAGAGGGCTGAGTGTGGGAGACCAGCCCAAAACCTCCCCCCGCCCCAGAGCTGCCATTGCTGAAGGGGACCCAACCTGGGTCTCCCCCCTCCTAGCCCACCCCCTTCCCCACCAGACCACACTGGCTCTCGGGCTGAGGGGGGGACTCGAACCCAGGTCTTCCTGGTCTCAGTCAAACCCTTCCCCACCACCCCACACTGGTGTAGAGCATCACTTTACAATAAACTCTCACTATGAATTAAACAATGCCTTATCATAAATCAGATTTTTTTCCCGGCAAGGAACCAGGAGAAACTTTCTGCAACATCCGCTAATTCCCTAAATACAACCGTTTCCCAATTTAGCAGCCTTTCAAGGCACTGGGCTCCAATCCCCTCTGCTCCCAGGAGCTCCCTTCGCTGGGGATGATGGGATTGAAATCCAATGCATCCGGAGCGCCCGTTTGGATGACTTGAACCCGTTCCTTCACTCCCCTCCTGATCTTGTAACAATGAGAGAAGCCAACACCTTGGAATCCCAACAACTGGTTGGGAAAAAGCCACGCGGCCCCCTCTGCTGCTTTTACGCGGGTGGCCTGCAAAAGACCCAGGCCCACAGCTGCCAAGGGGCGGGTTGCAAGTGGCAACCTGCATGGCATAACGTCGACATGCACATAACATAATCCTGTTACAGGTTGTCTTCATTTAATGACCGTTCGCAGTTACAACAGTGATGAAAAACTCACTTTGTGACCAATCCTCGCATTGACGCCCTTCGCAGGTCTGTAAAGCAAAGGAAAGCTGAAGGAAGGTCATAAGCAGTCGTGGCTTCACTTAGTGACCACTTCACTTAACAACCGAGTTTCCGGTCCCAATGGTGGTCGCTAAACGAAAACTCCCTACATAGGCACAATGACATCATAATGCACGGTCACCATTTTGAGGCCACCCTGCCTACCAACGGCTGCCACTGCCCTGCTGCTCCCCTCGGCCTGCGCTGCCAAAATAAAACGCTCAGCGCAGGGGGTCTGGCCGGGCTGGATGTTATCCCAGCTGCCTAGCGAGGGGCCGAGACGCCTGGCGAAGATCCAGTAGAGCAAAAACAACACAGGAAAGTGCAAAGGTCAAAAAAAGGGGGGGGAAACATGGGAAGACTCAGCTCCTTGCTGATCTGGCCCATCGACACCGGCTCAGACCCCAAATCCAACCTCCCATCAGAAAAAGGGGGCTCTGCAAAACCCTGCTGATACTTGGGTCAGGGATGAAGTCCAGGGAAACGGGCAATGTCTGGAATACCTTCCAGAAACACGTTCAACATCCCAGGCGATTCGTTCCTTTGGGTGGCCTGCCCGTTCACACATGCAACCCCCGCCCCCATGCAGACTCCTCCGCACCTGAGCTGGTGATTGCAACTAAGCCCTCCACTGCTGGGAGGAGCCGGGGGGGTGCAAAGAGCGCAGGGCCAGCCTTGCGGCTGAAATGAAGGGCTCGGCCCCTTCCTGGCTCCTGTTATCAAAGTCCAAGGCCGCCCTGCGTTTAGATGGCACTGCGGACGCGGGCAGTCGCGGCAAGAGCCGTGCTAGAAAGAGGGGATCTGCAGGGAGGGGGGCAGAGGGAGGGGAATTGGGTGCATGGCTGGACGGAAACCGGGGGGGG